GTTCTGCACGTTGTAGTAAAATCACTGTTCTCACCTGCTCAAACAAGACTACCATTTTTGGAAAGTCTGATAATCGTGAAAGTGCATAAGCCTATTTCGTTTCACATGCCAGGTCACAAGGGAATCAAGGCACCTCATTCACTGCTACTAGATTATTTCGGTGGCGATCTGCATCCTGCTGATTTGGTAGAAATCAACAAAAACGTCGACTATTTGCATTCACCAAAAGGAGCATTACTTGCGGCTCAGAAGCTAGCAGCTGCCGCTTACAGTGCTGATTATACGTTCTTTCTCATGAACGGTTCGACAGTGGGTAATATGGCCGCTATTATGGGTGTGACTGGTTGCCATCAAAAGATCATAATGCCACGTGCGTCGCATCGATCTGTCTATGGTGGAATCGTGCTTTCCGGTGCCATACCCATCTACATCGAACCTGATTATCATCCTGATATTGGATTTCCACTATCTGTTAGGGTGACAACAATTGAAGCTCTACTCAAACAACATCCTGATGTTGTTGCTATTCATTTGACTTCTCCTAATTACTACGGTGTTATGTCAAATGTAGCGGCTATTTGTCAGCTCGCCCACTCGCATGGCATAGCTCTTCTTGTTGATGAGGCACATGGTTCGCATCTTTGTTTTCATTCGGATTTACCCCAATCAGCAGTGTCTTTAAGAGCAGACATCATCGTACAGAGTACACATTAAACACAAGGTTCACTTACACAGTCAGCAATGCTGCATGTTAATGACAACGGTTTCGCTAGTCGAGCACGCATAGCACAAGTACTGCCACTTCTGCAAAGTTCTTCGCCAAGTTCAATTTTGTTGGCTTCATTAGATGCGACTCGCATGCAAATGGCTACGGAAGGTCGTGAGCGTTTGTCGACTGTCATTACTCTTGCACGAAAAGCGCGTGATGCTATTCGACAGATGGATGGCATGTGGTGCTACGGCGATGATTAATTGGTGTCAGAAACATTTTTACCTTTGATCCTAGTAAGCTCATCATTCGTGTAAGCGACGCAGGTTTCAGCGGCTTTGAGGCCAGTTCCCTTCTCCGAAATCATTATGAAATTGAAGTGGAATTTGCTGATGTCAAACATGTAATCTGTTCAATTACAATAGCTGATACAAAATCAACTGTTGATAAATTACTCGAAGCATTACACAGTTTGACTAGACAAAACCATCAAATTATTGATTACGATGATTTTTCAATCAAGCCGCCAGATGGTCTGCCACATTCAGCTATCAGCTTACGTGATGCATATTTTTCGACCAAAACACGTATCATTCCTCTAAATGAGGCAGTAGGACATATACTGGTGGAGAATATAATACCATATCCACCAGGTATTCCACTGTTGGTTCCAGGTGAAATAATGGAACAACGTCATCTAGATTATATGGATCATTTGATTGACAGAGGAAGCACTATCATTGGCATGGGAGATTTATCACTACGAACAGTTCACATAGTGGATGCATAACAGTAACATCCATAGAATTTAAACTGATTTTTAAATATATGTTGAATTCATAGAGTGTGGGTGCGCGGTGTGAGTGTTGCTATAGGTATAGACGAAGAGAAGACTTACACCCAGACCCACACCCTCATATAGATGAATTTGTACTAGCAACAAGATGGATGATAGAGCCTGGTACAGGAGACTCAGTAGTCTTACTGGATAAGAAGGAGTTTTTATCTTTAGCAGAGTGACCAGAAAGCTTTTAATGTATCTATATTGAAGCTGTTCTTTTTCTTTTTTTCCTATTTCTTTCTCTTTCATTCGTATACTACATTTTTTTTGTCTCTTATCTGTTGACTTATACATTTTTATTTTAGTGTATTTCAGGTATATGTCCCTTTTGAACCGCAAGGGTCAGAGGGTTAAACAAAGCGGTATTATTATTTATTAGATCAGTATTTTATTCAAAAGGAAGTAAATGGAGAAAGAAGACACTACATCCAAACTACTAGACGCTAAATGTGTAAGATAGTTCATAGGATAAAGGTAATTCACAGCTTTGAAGCATTCATCATGATGCCAACAAGAGCTATAATAAACAAGATTATGATATTAACATGTTATATGATGACGCAAATTTTGAATTCTCAGCCACTGCATGCTCGGTACAATGAGTTGGTTATGGTGACGGTGCCACTATCACAGCTAAGTGCGAGTGTAACATTGTTGCCCCCTATCAAAATCCACCCCTTATAGCCATTTGTACGAGCAGTACCTGAGAATGTGGTAGAACCACCACATCTGCTACTCACACTGGACTTAACTGAATAGGTACCAAACAANACTCTGTGATTAATTGTCGTAGACTAGACTTTTATATGGCGACAGGAATAAATGCATTAGAGTTATGTCGGGCGTCAGCTTGAAAGTTATTGAATGTCTGCATGATGATATTAACAAATATATTAAAAAGAATGTTCAACTTGATAATATTATAGTCAAACACAGTACTTTAGTTCTAGATGATCTTGATCCTATAAATGATCAGATGAATAAACTTGATACTTTTATGACTGAAATGAAGAATGAAGAGTATCGGTCGTAACGCAACAAGATCTACTTCCTATAAATACTTATTTTTAAGTTCATTGTTTCGCTGTTTTCATATAATATGAATTCCACATTGGTAGTGTATGTGTGATACTTTTGTTTTTCTTGTTTCATTCTTTCACTATATTTGTTACCTATTGTATTGATACATGTATTATTACATAGATGCTCCTATTCATAGTATTAGAATAAGATGTAAAACAAAATGGATGTTTAATTAGAACTTTTAGTTCATTGTAGTTATAGTTTTTATTCTAGTCTTATTTTCGACGAGAAGAATAAATTGTAATTATGTAAAAAAAGCAAAGCGTTAACTAAATAGCGATTGTTATATATAGGAAATATTTTTAACTAACTATTTGAAATCACTTGTGTCTATTTGAAAGATAAATTAAAAATATTGAGATAATATTTCACCATATTTAGCCAATAGAAACATAATTGCCATACCAAGAATAACACCAATATTTTGACTAAGCAGAATTTTAAGTTTCAATATTCTTGTGATTGGTAAATTAGCTGTGGCATAATCTTTTTCAATTTCATGACCCATGGAAATAAGTTCAGGAACCTAATTAAAAGAAAAAAACCTCTATACAAAGGACAAGATAAATCTGTAACGTACCATATCAGCTAGACCAATATAAACAAACATACCACCAGCTAATGCACAAATCCATGGATGAAAATTTTCCACTTCACCTATATAGAAGAAATTATTGTCTTTATAGATTATAAAATTATTTCTTTATAAAATTTAACCTAATTTTGCTCCAAGTATAAAACCAGGATAACAACCACAAGAAGATAAAAAATTCATTAAAAGAGCTTGCTTTATTGGAAGGCCACTACTTAATAAAACAGCAGCATCACCTTTAAATTAAAATAAATATAATATTACTATTCATTTAATTTGCTCTTTTTTATTACCGAGTTTATGAGAAAATTCTTCACAAACAATGGGTACCATCATACGAAGACAATCACTTATCGAAACAATAGCAATTGCACCTATGGTTAGACCATCGATAAAACCATGAAGTAGATCACTGAGAAGAATCATCCATCCAATTGGTTTCATTGTTTTCAAATTCTCTCTTAAACTTTTTGTATTTTTCTGTTGAAGCACGGGCTACAAGATAAAAAGTTTCTTATTTTATATTCGAATAAAACTTGTTGAATGTTTTGGAGAAGTACATTTATTTACTAAGGCAAATAAGTCAAAAAACAATTGTTGTCAATCAAAAACTAATCAGAGAAGTAAAGCCTATAGTGCGTATGTCTAATCAATCATCACAATATATATATATATATATAAATTTCCGTTCATTGTCAATGATTAGCATAGAAGTTAAAATTTGTTGCGAAATCAGATGAATGTAATACATTCATAAGGACTATGATCGTTTTTTAATAAAATCAATTTCATTGATTGTACTCATAAAATCAAAAATTATACCTAAATTAGTGAATATTCTTTACAGTCAACTCACAACAATTTTTAAAAAATTGATTGACATCGTTTAACCATCAAACTTTTTGTTTACTATTTTTAATAAAACATAGATTCATAAAACATAGGAAATAATAAGCATAAATCAAAACCTACTTATCGTTTTCTAAACTCACCGATAAATCTTCGTCACCATGGCTATGAGTCGATACAACCTAGAATAAACAAATATTAAAAAAAGACTTGCCCGTGCAATCTGTTTGTGACTAAAATGTGAAACATACACATATTTTTCAGCTGCATTGTCTTAATACAAAATAGGTTAAGTAAAAAAAATTCTAACAGACGAAAGTTTCTTTTCAAGAATAATCGACCATCACAAGAACAATATATTTTCTTTATTTCTACAATAAGTCTCAACGCACAATGACGTATTGTCAATGCCATACGGCGCTTTTTTTCTCATTACTAAGGAATTATAGAAAATAAGTCTGGTGTCTATTGTTCTTGTCTGCAATTAAAACGTACCCAAAGATCTTTGACCTACTGATTAAGGCCTGTAAGAAGAGGAGTGAGAGAAATCGTAAAACATCGACTTAAAACTTATACTCACCATTTTCTTCGAAAATATGTATGAATTTCACAAAAAAAAAGCAAAAAAATCATAATAAAAAATACAAACCGCTTCAATATGAAGAAAAGTTTCGAATATTTGATCACGCATATAAAATAAATAAATAACAATTGTTGTTAGAAGACCTTTAGTAAGAAAAGTTAGATCTTTGTCATAATCTTCAATACTAAATGCCTTTAAAAATAAAACTATATTTAATTCAATTATAAATTATTGAAAATACTTACCATTGGAATAAGATGAAATATACCAGTACCAAGAAGTGTACCAACAGCTATACATAAAAGAATATTACAATGATTAAAATAATATTATGATAAAATTAATTACCCAAACCAATAAAAGTAGTAAGAAGCCATTTAAATGCAGATTTTTTTCGAAATGGTAAAATAATCGCACTAAAAAGTGCCGCTAAATTAATAATACTTACTGAGATCAAACCAACCAATATATCTTCAATTATAAGATAAATTTATATAAAATAATGTTACATATTATTACATACGTTTCCATTTTGTAGTTCCTTTTTGTTTTAAGCATCCTTCATTAAATTTAACATGGACTAAAGTTGGAGTTAATTGTTTGACATCTGTACGAGTTAGATTAGTATTTTCATCTATTCTTGTAATATTTAATGCATTAAGTAAATCATCTGTTGATTGAAAACACTAATAGATATTGAATAAAATCATACATGTATTCAATATTCTTTACATAAATATTCACCTTATTTTCGATAGTACCTTGTTTAATATCTTCATCGGTAATCTTATGACGAATATATGTTAGATCGTCAACATCATTTGATTCAATTAATTTATTATAAAATAATTTTAAATTAGTTTGATTTTTTAAATGTGAATAAAGAAGATTTTCTTCTAAACGACTTAATTCTATGTTTAATGTTAATACAGAATTTAATTCAATATGAACAAGAAAAGCAATAAGGATTACGATTATTTTTACCATCTAGAAATAAATTTAAAAAATTATAACACGAACGAATTTTGAAAGAATTATTTTCTCGGATAATTACTTTATAAAAGAGAATTATATTTAAAGAAAAAAAATTACCAGTTAAGAGTCTTATTCCTTCTTGTCAAAAAGAAAAACGATTTGAATTTGTGTTTTTATGGTAATTATAGTCTAATATTATTCGTTCATCTAGTTTAATGCAAAATACGAGATTTGACAAAAGTAGTTCCCTTATGACCCTTCTTTAATTTTGTTCCGTCGAGCTGAAAATGTCATCACAGGTGTTCGAAAGGTTTTCTACAAGGTTTTTTGTTCGTGTTTATTTTCAGTTATTTACTGTAGAATTATTGCAATCTTCTATGACAGAAGATGTGTCTTCCAATAGGTGATTGGAATATTTTCTGAGAATAAAGAATAAGAATACCTTTGAGATATTAACTCAGCTATTTTCAAAAATATTTCGAGTCCTATCGGATGAGATTGCATGGAAATTTTAATTGAATCCGATGAAACTTTGTGGAAATGCTGATTATTCTCCATGTTCTGGCCATGATCAAATGTTCAGCTCCATTGAGCATCCCCCCTCCCCAAGCTGCAGTCGAATTTCCTCTCTTGCGAGAAATTTTCATGACTTTTTAAAAGTTTTTCATGTTTCGGAAGACTGCTTTTTTGCTTACATTAAGGCCACTCTCTCTCTCAAAAATGGATCTCAGCCCAGGAACATTCAAATGACATGAAAATTTCAGGATATGTTGGGGCTGGTGAGACATGGTTATGATCAAATTTTCAGCCCTATAGCACGATGTTTAACCGAGATATGCACCAAACAAGGACCAAAAATAGCTCTTTAGTATCTCCAAGTTTTCTCTGTGGGTCTTCATTCTAGACATTTAATTTTTTGTTTGTTTGAAAGAGCATGTCAGAATGCAGCGATTCTCGTGGCCATTTTTTTAAAGTCTTACTTTTTAGGGGAAAAAACCGGAGCGAAAGTTCAATGACTCAAAAAACCTCTCTAAAAATTGCGCTGCTCCGATATAGAGGTTATCTTCTATGATAATAAAAAAGCTTATTTTAAAAAAAGGGCCACGAGAGTCGCTAGCCCTGTATATAAGCCTTCAAACAAAAAAAAATATTTGACTCTACCTCTTACTGTAATGGAGTTCTGCTGGAGATACATCATTGAACTGACGTTCTGAGAAAAATGAAAAATGATTTTCGGTTTTTTGTAAAAACGGCCTGTTTTTCGGATAGGGGGTGACGAAAATCTTCCAAAATTTTTGAATAAAAAAAGATGCTGAATAAAAAATTTTACCGCATATGAAAGAGCAGATGACGGGCTATTTCCCCATGAATTTCCCTCAACTTCGATGATTCTGACGAAAAGTGACTTTTCTGAGGAGGGGGGGGG